TTCCTGCTGTCCCTGTATGAGGCTGTTTGAGCCACATCTTGTCCACCCGGACGTCTCAGATGGTTTACTCTTCCTTCTGAACCTCAGTTTGAAGAGCTGCAGGCCACAGCTGGGAAGCACGGCGACGACCTGCGCAACACAAAGGGGGAAATCTCCGAGCTCAACCGGCTGATCCAGAGGATCCGGTCAGAGATCGAGAACATGAGGAACCAGGTAGGAATGGCAAAAGGAGCCTGCGGAGCCCCGTTCTGTGGTCCCTTAGCACCGCAGCTCTGCTTTGCTCATCAGGGACTTTAGCAGCCACAGAGTAGGATGTACCTCATTAAATGTGTTGAATTCCCTCTTGAAAAGGGCACCATGCTGTAGCAGGTATTAAATCGTTCTTACCAGGCTGGCATTTCAACTCCAGCACTGTTAGCTACGGGTGAACGACCTCAGTCATAACTTTTTTCATTAATACCCTAACCGGAATGGTTTTCTTCCTTGGGCAACCCTCACCCAAAAAGGAAAGCAGGATTTAGGAGTCCCAATCCCTCCTCTTGCAGTGTGCGACGCTGCAGACAGCCATCGGAGATGCTGAGGAGCGTGGGGAGCTGGCCCTCAAAGACGCCAAGGCAAAGATGATTGACCTGGAAGATGCCCTTCAGAAAGCCAAAGCTGACATGGCCCGGCAGCTCCGCGAGTATCAGGAGCTGATGAACATCAAGCTGGCCCTGGACATCGAGATCGCAACCTACCGCAAGCTGCTGGAGGGCGAGGAGAGCAGGTGGGAGCAAAATCCCTGCCAGAATAATAGCGACTATCGCTTGTCTCCTGCCAGCAGCTGGTCCCGCTGTCTGTGTCCTTCATTTTGCTCTAACCTCCCCTTTATCTGCCCTCCAACAGGCTGAGCGGAGAGGGACTCAACCCCATCAGCTACTGTAAGTATTGCGGCGTTTGTCTTGCTTTGGGCCCGACGGGAGCAGAGGTTGTGAGCAACCTTGGGAACAGGGAGGTGCTTCCCAAGATTGTGGAGAGCCCTCCACCAGCATTAGTGGCTTGCACAGGGGACAGAACTGGGCTCAGGTCCTGTGGGTCAAGGTCCTGGTGATGGTGTTTTCTGGAACGGAGTGACTGCCAAGCAGATGTCCAACCCTCTGGTTGCTTTTTCTTGCAGCTGTCATCAGCTCCAGCTCTGGCGTGGCTGGTGGAGCTGGGTTAGGAGGAGGATTTGGTGGATTGAGCCTGAGCGGAGGAGGCGGTGGAAGCAATTTCAGTCTTGGAGGAGGTGGTGGAAGTGGTTTTGGTCTTGGAGGAGGCAGTGGAAGTGGCTTCGGTCTTGGAGGAGGTGGCGGTGGTGGAGGCTACAGCTTTGGGAGTGGAGGAGGACTTGGACTTGGGGGTGGTGGTGGTCTCGGAGGTGGATTTGGAGGAGGCAGCGGCCTCAGCATTGGAAGTGCTCTTGGCTACGGAGGAGGTGGCGGCAGCGGTCTGAGCACCAGTGGAGGAAATTTCAGCTCTGGAAGTGCAAAAGGCACCAACCCAGGTGTGAAAATTGTCTCCAAAACCTCCTCCAGCAAAAAAAGCATAAAAAGCCAAAGCCTGAAGAATGCTACACAGCCCGAGTAAAACCAACGCCAGACCTTCCCCAGAACCATCGCTCCCACATTGCTCCTGCATTGCCCCTGTATCGCTCCTGCACACCACCGTCCCCTCCACCCGCCTCTGTCCCGGCTCCTCGCACCGAAGCTCGTACGCATTTGGATCACAGTTCAAGAGAATCAGCGGAGCACGTGTTACCCAGATCTCTCAACGTACCTACAACAGGATTAAAAGGAAAACATGGGCCTAAGTGATCTTCTGAATGGGGAATTGATTTTTAATTTGTGTGTTTGATTTTAATGAGGCTGAGCAGCTGGTTTGCAATTGGGTAGAACTGGCAGCCATCAGCTAAGACCGATCAGATATAGCTGGGAAGGTTCAATAGCTTGGGGTTTTTAGCTCAGTTCTGGCCCAAAGCAGCCCAACGATGGGCTGGGAGCTTGGCTTCGGTTCAGCCTGATTTGCCTTCACTGCTGGGATGAACCAAACTCACCCTTTCAAGTGAAGCAACTCAAATTTATCAGAGACGTGGGTTATTTTTCTGCTATGTAGAAATACCCCAAGAGGTTGCTGAAAGATGCCAGGCAGTGGTTTGCAAGTGTGGGGCCCCCCCTCTTAAAATATCCCTTATTCTGGGAGCACAGAGCCCGTTAGGAGACACTTCTGAGTCACTCGAGTGCGATGGAAATTCCCTCTTTTCCCCATTCACAGCCGAGCTTTGAAAATCATGTTTCTTCCAGATGTGCTGAGCACTGCAGCTGTGCGAAGCCAGGCACAGGAGCCTGGCCAGTCGCTCAGAGCATAAGATTAGGAGAGCAATCCGAGACCCCTCCACCTGAAAAGTACCACCCACAGGGACACGGATTCAACTTGCAACGAGCTTGTCTAAGAGGAAGCCCAACCTCCTCTCCCATTCCTATCCTTTCTCTCCTTACATGACAGTTTGCCCCCAGCGGCACCTTACACGTAATCTCATGGGTGCGTTTTGTCGGAGGAGCCACCAGTGACCCATCCAAAGCATACGGAAAAGGGTTTGTTTTCTAAACGATAGGATTTTTCTAAATTACAACCCAGGCAGAGCGTTCTTCAAAAGCAAGATGGGTGTTTGCAGTTAAATTGGGTTGCTGTCCTGTTTCATGCTAGGTTTCGTTGGAATGGCTTTAAAAATGCCAAAATCACCCAACAGCCCCAGTCTCGCTGACTTTCCCAACTGTCTTGGTAGCAGCAGTCAAGGTGAAAGTCTGAGACAGTGATAATGACACTGAAAAACTGCCTGGAGGGCTGTGTCCTGTCCACACAGCTCCTGGGGGTATTTCAGCATCTCCGCCATATGTGGGTTTCTCTGCCAAAAGAAAGATATTTCATAAACTGCAAAGTGCAGCCTGGTGTCAACCCAACACCTGGGAAATGAGGCAACCAGGAGCAGGAGCCCAAAGGCACACCAGTGCCCAAAATTTACTTTTCCCTTTCTGGTAGAATTTCCCCTCTAGCCTTCCACCATGTCTTTTTATTTTTGTGAAAGTACCATTAAAAAAAAAAAAATTGCAGCTTTTTATACTTCAGTGATAGTGATATGATGCTGTGTTTTCCTTCCTTTCTCTTTTCGGAATGTGTCCAATAAAACTGGATTGTAATTTATTTGTTCCTACATCTTTTTATTCTAAACCAGAACCAGTAGCATGAAAATATTCCCAGCCTTCAGTGGAGTGAGCTGGATGGGGCTTTTGCTTTACTTTGGGGAAAAGTTTCAAAATTCTGATAAAATTATGATTAAAATCTTGAATTCAGTTGTCCCAAAACAAGTTGAAGAATCAGAGAAAAGGGGAGGAGGAGGAGGAGGAGGGTGGGGGTTTATCCATTAAGTGACAAAAAAAAAAATTACTCACTATACTCACTATTAATTTCTTAACATGTAATTGGGGTGAATCCAAAAGCCTTTCTTCCACGGAAGGGAGGGGTTTGCACAGCTCTCTTAGCTCAGGCAAAACCCCAGTATTTAATATTCGCTTTCTTAAAAAGACATAGCAAAACCAAGCACATACAGGGCTCTGGGGGAGGATTTTATCAGGATGATCTGGACTGAGGATGGTTTCGGTGAGCTGGAGCAGAGCAACTCACCAATGCGGGTATTTTGGTCAGTCTGTTGCAAAAGGAGAATAAAAAATAAAAAAAAAGGGGGGAAAAAAAAAGCCCTCAGACAAACACTCAGACCTTATTGCATTTCAAAGAGTCAGATGCTCTTCCCTGACCTCTCAAGATTCCCAGCTTTACATAACTCGGTGCAGCAAATGGGAGAGAGCAAGCGAGTACATACCAGCCTGGCAGGTTTACGGGAGACGCTCACAACCGCTCCGGCAAAACCTCGCTGGAACCCAGATGCACCAAAACACAGGAGCATCCCATCTCCCTTCCCCTGGAAAATCAAAGGGGCTGCAGCGAGAGAGACCACAGTCCAGGGACAAACCCCAGCCCCTCGTCCCCTGCTCTGCCGCAGAGGATGACACAGACACCCAGGCCAAAAATAAGGTTAAAAATAAACCCTGAGTCACCTCGATTCCTGTGCTCGCCCGTGCTAACGCTGAATTACACCGCACGGGTGCGAGGAACGAACACAGCTGAAGACAACCTAACCTTAAGTAACCTTAAAAGTTTTGAATTCTTTCTTCAAGTCTGCACGGAGAAAAAAAAAAAAAAAATCAAACAACAGAGTCCAAAGGAGAAGTGGTGCCTCCTCCCTCTGCTCTGCATCCCCAGCCCACCCGCCGCCCCCCGCGCTGCCCCCATCCTCCTGCCAACCCCTGGCAGCAAATCCTGCCTCCCAAACTGACAACCTCTCTGCGGGCAACCTGCCCATCTTGGGGGGCAAACACAGCCCCCCCCCGCGACCCAGAGCAGCTTCAGGAGCATGGGGCATGTAAGCGACGCAAGCCAAGCAAGGAAACTGTGTGGGACAAGAATTTTCCTTGTTTTGGTGCCTAAACCATCATTTGCTTTACTCTTCCAAATCCTTTGTAATATTCCACTTAATTAACATTGTCTGCAGCAACAGGCTTTCCTAGAAGAGCTGGGGAGGTAATGACTGCCTTAAACATGAATCCTTTCTCTTTGCTTTAATTAAAACGTTTGCAGGCTGCGCTCTGGTTCCCAGGTGTGACTTTGCATAGCTCTTTGGAAGTCAAACGCAGGCTCCCTGCCTGGCCCCCCTCCACGGGATGCGGCACCCATGTGCCAATTCACCTCTGCAGGCTCAGGAAAGCAAATCTCCATACGTCCGCCATGTCTCTGACAGAATTTATTTATTTTCCACATCAGCATAACCCCAGTGGTGTTATGATCCAGGTTCCCTGCTGCTCCCATGAACTGGGGGCTCGTTTCTTCGGGACGTGTGAGCGCGGGTGCAGTTTTCCCCGTGAAACTCTCCGTTTCCAGCACCCAGGAGGTTCCCACGTCTCCACTCTTGGGGTGAGAGCACCCCCTTGCTACCGCCCAGCCATCTCCCTTCCAGCGGGAGGGAGCCTTGCGGCAGCCCGTCCAAGGGTTGGCTTCCCCATCGCTCGCCCGAAGGCGCCGCGGGGGCCGGTGACTCACGCGATTGGCAATAGGCAGCGACAGGAGCGCTCGCAGGAGGGAAGAGTTGTGAGCGCTGGCTCTTTCTGATTGCAAGGAGAAGAAAAAAAAAAACACAACAGAAAACAAAACAAAAACCCCCTTCTGCTCAGGTTCTTTCAAGTTCCCAGACGGAGAAAACGGCGGTTGGAAGCGCACCAACAGAAACAAGCCGTGAGATGCAGCAGATACCCTCAAGCCGCTCATCTTGGATCAAGCTCCTGCACTTACTGCTCACGTAGCCGATTTCGAGAATCTTTGTGATTTAGCTGCTTGGGGTTTTATCCCTCTGCCCTGCTCTATTATTTTATTTGACATATAACGCGGCCGAGGTGGGCAGCCCTTGCAGCACAAGGACGCGGCTGCGCAGAATCCAGTTTGCAGAAGTGTTTTTGGGGGGGTAAAGAGGGGATTTCTTCTCTCATAACCCGTGTCTAGCTCTTCGTGGACACAAGAGAAGAGGTCCCCAGCTCTCCTCCCTTTACACCGCCCCAAAGCACGACCCAGCCTCATCATGGCCACTGAAGATCCTGGGCGAGGGTTTGAGCCTGAGATCCAGGGGCAAAGGTTTTTTGGAAAAATCTTCCAACTGAATGATCTCAGCAGGGTGAAGGAGGGGGTGGGAGGGAGCTGGAAGAAATGCGGGTGAATTCCCCTTCACGAAGCATCTCGGGGAGCCAGGAATGACATGGGAACAGAGGGTTAAATGCAGGGGGGTGGAAAAAAAAGTGATAAAAATTCCACTTCAGAGGGAGCTTTTGAACCTGACAAGGAGATTCAAAAGAAGAGAAACTATTTCAACCATCCTTTTAAGAACTGTTTTATAAGTCTTGTAGTACTAGTTAATGTAATTTGAAGTTATTTGGGGAAAGGGATTTACCTGCGGTCTTTCAAAGCCGTGATAACTAATTTCTCAGTTTCCCCTGCAATAAGGGAGACAATTTTTTTTGGTAATATCCCAGAAAATCCTACCACGAGACAACTTCCACTCGGCTCATCTCTGCAAGCTCACGATCATTTAGACCCCTTTTCCGAAAGAAATCAAAAGAGCTGCACTGATAAATAAAACCACCTTCAGCCCCAGCTGTCCCAAGCTGACAACAGGACGTGCAGCCTCAGGAAAGCCCCGATTTACGCTGCCCTGTTGGCTGTGCAACGTGTTAAACCCTAAACTTCACTTTGCAAAAGCTTCAGTGCAGGGAATCTTGCTCAAACGAGCGAGCCCTTGGCTCGCTTCAGGAAAACTGGCTCCCGGGGTCTTGGGAGAATCACGTTGCATCCTGCTCCTGAGCGCAGTCGTCCCATTCAATTCTAATTTAATGACTCAGAGCTTTGGGAGAGGGGGGAGCTCCCTCACTCCGTTACTTTCTTGCCTGCAAACAATGCATTTTTCAGCGCCTCGCCATAGCCTAGGTGTGTTT